TTCAGTTACAACAGAAAGTCAACAAGAATCACCAAGAGACAATTATTCAACCGTTGATAAAAGACATTAAAATGGACAATGGCTGCGAAAAACTGCAGATCTTACTTTACTCCTGCTTCACCACTCTGACCGCGTCCAAATCTCACCTCGTTCTTATGTTTTTATTCAAAACACAAATGTCCATTTTGCTACATACAGCATTTCAAATGAATGTATGGAAATGTTTTTGAAGAATTGATCTGAAAGCATTTGGAATTTCATCAAAAGTGATAATCACAAAAGGACACATTCCACTGAGCCACAGAGAATAAACAATGCAAACATGGCAGATTTATATTAATTTCTATGCAAATTTCACATGTTCATCAATTTTAATGTCCCTCCCAAGTCTGCAAGCTCTATTGAGAAAGTATAGAAAACTAATATTCAGAGGTCCCTTCACCTAAAGACCTTCTATGACTGTGGTGGCATCAGCCTCTTGTACAGTGTGACATCACAGAGAGGGACAGGAAGAAGCTGGACAAGGTCATCAGGAAGTCCAGCTCTGTCCAGGGCTGTTCCCTGGACACAGTGCAGCAGGTGGGGGACAGGAGGGTCCTGGACAAACTAACATCTATGCTGGACCATGACTGTCACCCCCTACAGGACAGCAGCTTCAGTGAGAGGTTCCACAGGTCTTTCCTTCCGGCTGCTGTCAGACTGTACAGCAAAAAATGAGGGCTAACAAACACTGGCGACCTGACCTCACATGTCAAGCACCAGTGCAATATCTTGAACTAATGTCAGAATGTGCAATATAGATTCACATGTGTCCCATAGCCCCTTGCTGCTAACAGGTACAGATGTATACATACAACTAAGAATAACCTGTAATAAGTGAGATCCGGGAAGTAGCAGATAAATGTTTTAAGGCTCTAAAACCCCTCACACACACTTTTCTAACAACCTGAACTTACAATGCAGAGATATCAAACTTGTTCCTTGTAGAGTCAGAGTGCTGCTGTAGTTGTCAAAAAGCCATGCATACACAGCTGCAGAGGGAAGACCAGAGAGAGAGACCAGAGAGAGACCAGAGAGAGAAGTGAGAGAGACCAGAGAGAGAAGTGAGAGAGAGACCAGAATGAGAAGTGAGAGAGAGACCAGAGAGACCGAGAGAGAGACCGAAAATGAGAAGTGAGAGAGAGACCAGAGAGAGACCGGAGATAGACCGGAGAGAGACGTTAGCTAGGGACCACTGTATTTAGATTAGACTTGGTTAGACTTGGCTAGATTAGATTAGGTATGTCCCAAGTCTGGTGAGCTTTTCATGACAGTTGTTCAAAGATCCAGAATTCCATATTTCCACACAAAGTTTTTGGTTCTTGAAAAAAAAACAAAAAACAAAACACCTCTTCCTTCATTCTTAGGTAAAAACAAAAACACCCTCCCCTTCCCGTCGTCCCTGTGTCCACCACCTCTTATATATGTATATAAACTATTATTAATTTACAGTTATCAACAATGTGTGTGTCCACTCCTCACACACTCAGTCGTTGTGCTTCCCCGTTTCTGCGTTTTACGACCGCAACACACGTGAAGAGACCAAAGAGTTTCGCTTCACATTGTTTCGGTACATTCAGTTTTACAGCTGTCAAAGTGATACTACTGCAATAGTCCAGTATGAAAACCTGTTCAAAGTTGATGAAGTTGTACTGTAATGTTGCGGACTAGAGCAGTGGTTCCCAACCTTTTCTCTCCATGAGCAACAGCGAAGACTGGACTCGAGTACAGAAGCCAAAATTTCCCCATTGTGGGACGAATAAAGGTCTCCCTCGTATTTTATCTAAGTTAATCTAATCTTCTATGTACCACAAGGTTGACATTTTTTTGAGAAAGGGCAACATTCAAAAACCCAATCAACTTTATTTTAGTGCATATTTTCTGGTCGTTTGGATCTCGTTATGCATTATTTTACAATGCATATAAGTATTTTGGCCATATTATTTTTATTTGACTTTTTCTAAACGGAGAACAAGCTTGGACTGAACCAAAACTGGACAAAAAGAAAGGAGCTCAAGTTTTTACAGACTGATAACGTGTTCAAATCCAAGTCTTCTGGTTAAGACAGGACTCTGGTGTGCTCCTGCTTGGTTGAAATGAAAACCTGCAGGCACACAGGGTTGAATACTCCTGCATTAGGGGTTCAATGTTTATGACGAAATAAATCATACTGGTTGTTTTGATAAATGTTTAAAAAGTATGTATAATAATTTCCTTACATATTTGAAGCTCATAAGTTAGTACCTCATGTCAAACTCTATAGGGGTCCGAGTACCTATGGTTGGGAAACACTGAACTCTAACTTCTATCTTTGCTTTCTTCTCTAATTGCTTTGGATTGATGTCGTTTATTAATAACATCCGAATCATGCCTATTTCTAGCGGTGATCATACATATTACTGTTTAAACGCCGGAACAGCTGGATCTAAAATAAATAATGCCCCCAAACATGAAACATGGCTGTAAACCCCAGCATTCTCAACACGGTAAAACAAAAAAAACATGAAATCATTTTAAAGCAATCGTCATGTAAGCGTCGGCAACTGAACGTCCGTGTCGCTATGGCCCAAGACAAACAGCATGACACACGCAACATCATATTCAGATTTGGATAAAACACAAATTGTACAGCATGTTCCTGAAGTCCAGAAACCACACAACATCTCGCCACCAGATGTCAGTATTGTCAAAGTAAACAGCTGGTGAAAAATCATCAATGCGAAAAACAAAACACATATTTGAGGCCGCACGAGCACAGAACAGAATGTGGGTCCGGTACATTCACATGAGGGGATGTGTCTTTGACCAGAGAGAGACGAGAGACAGAAAGTGTGGCTCTGAAAGTCATGTTGAAGCTAAGTGCACAGCTTGGATGAGTTGCTACGTCCTCAGACTACAGTGAAGGCACTAAAGAAAAGACTAAACCGGCTCCAACTGAAACACAAATATATCCTGCAGGTTTACTATGGCCGTTGGAAGAAGCTGAGATGGGAGAGAGAGAGGTGTGGTGGTGGTCCCCTCACGGAGGAGAAATTACTTTTGATTTACAATGTGGAACCAGAGGCAGGGCTGCAACTATTAAATATTTTAGCATTTTGTACACTTACCTAAATAAAATGGTATTGATATCATTTAGAACAGAGGTGTCAAACTCCTCTTGGTTTGGGGCCGAAAAAATTAATAAAAAAGGAACCGATCGGGGGCCAAAAGAATAGAAGGGATTTCCTTTTCTTTTAGATGTCCTAATATAAGTCTTAAAGTATTTTGACACTACTTTAATGTATCATGAGTTTCACCATTATTTTCTGGTGTATATTTAGATTTCATCAAAACTGTCTTGCAGGCCGGATTTGGCCCATGGGCCTGATATAGGACATACATCCGGGTTCCCAAATAATGTTTCTGTACATTTCTTTTCTATTTTGTTGTTATTCATGTTAGTTCAGGTTAAGGTGATGGTACTTTATGGATCCTTGTAGGGAAACATCAGGAGCAGTGGTCATTGTAGTTTGACCACTGGTCTGGGAAAGGCGCTAAAGAAATAAAGATTACTTACATACAACAATAAATGTAAATGTAAATAAAACCACTCAGAGACGCACTGATCCGATCAGGACTCGAACCAAAGACCTTCTTGCTGCAGTTATGTTGGAGGACATTAGAGAATTGTAAATTTGCCAACAACAGATCAGAGAGTCAAACTACTAAATACTATCATAGAATTTCTGAAATATACTTCTGAATCCTTAAAGGGATAATCATTAAGTAGGACATTTTCTGTCTGGCTTCCCACATGCTTCCCTCTATTTTTGATACATATATTTCCTCTATTTATTTTTGGTTATTTGGTTATGTGGGCAGTCCTTCATCTTATATACTATGTAGACTACTACATATTAGTACTACTACTGTAGACTTCACAAAAATAGTTAATTGTTGCAGCCCCATAAACTGGTTAGCTAGAGAATCCAACTGTTCGCTTGTTAGCGCTCAGTTAAACCATCATCCTTTGTGACTTCTCTGGGGGGTCCTTCACACGGCAGACGACCTCCACCAGAAAAATGACATTGATTCAAATACATTGTGTGACATCACCTTACCACAAACCTCTTACCGACACACACAGCTTTGCCCATAGGCCTCCATCAGATCAGTGAAGTGAGAGATGGGAATAGCATTTCACACCGGAACCAACAACAACAATATGGAAGTATTTTGGATATATATTTTGCGAGCATTGGTTTTCAATGTTCACACCAGCACACTGACAGACGGACAGCGTTATGGAAAAGTGTATTGGTCGTCATGTGATCGGCAGCAGGAAAGACCACGGCCCCTTCAAACATAGTGCAAACGCAACACGCTTTAAATAAAAGTGGGGAAAGGTAGCAGTCGGTGGCAGGCTGAGCCGATCATCCCAAAAACACACAAAAACAAATCGTTCAAAAGTTGTTTTTTTAGTTTACAAGTTCTTCTGAAGACTGTAAAGCGCTGGAAAGTTGTTTCAGGGGTCGGAAAAAAAGCGTTTGTGAATTCAGTCTTATGATCCTCGGACAGTTTCGCCGATAATCCACAAAAGGCTGATGCGGCTTTTGGGTCTTTGCCTTTTAGTGGATCCGATCGTGCCTCCCCCCCAAAAAAAGCGCTTAAACATTTCCAAAAGTCATTCTACACAAAGCCATATCCTGTCCCCCTTTTGACGATATGTATTGTTCTTTATTACATTCTGGTAAAACTGCATTCTCTGGCAGTGAAGGCCCAGCGTTGGACCAGGAAGAAATAAAACTTTTAAATAGAAGGAAAATTAAAAAAAGGACTCCCATGTTGTGTAAATCGGCTTCTATTTAAAAAGAAAAAACTGAACAATAATCAAGTCTGGAAGGGTCCTGGTTCGACGCTGGGGTGGGCTCAGGTGCACAGGATCACAGAGAGAGGTTTGTGCTCTTGTTGAGGGGCCGCCTTTACTCCACCTCGTTGGGGCTGTCGGTTTTGTCCCTCTTGAGGACTGGGAGCGGGTGGGCCTCAGTGTTGAAGACCCAGTGTTCGAACGGCAGGTGGTCGTCGTCGGAGAAGAGCAGATACAGATACCTGCGGAACAGAAACACACTTATAATCGTCAGGTCACAAACAACATTTCAGATTAACAATGGTACACAGTAAGAAACAACTTTGTTTGTGATTCCATCCGAGGAGTTAAACTGTGGAACAGCTTTACTGAGCGGCTCAAGTAATGTCCAAATGTAAAACAACACAGGATAAGATACAAAAAAATTGTTCTGAAAGCTGTATATTATTATTACTTTTTTAAGTCGCTAGAATATTGTAAATATGTAGGAAAATATGAGTGCTTGTGTTTAGCAAAAAAGTGTGTAAAACAAAAATAAGTAAATACAAATATATGAGTATGTTGAAAGAGTGGAATCAATAAGTGTTTAACTTCATCCCACTCCATTTCAAACAGCAATGATTTTCTTTGTTTTACCATCAGTGTTCTTACGACCACTGTTTTATTCTGGTTATTGGACATAAAGGTAGACTTTTTTATTGTGTGCTTGGAATGAACTAAAACTAACAGTGAGGGAAGATAATATTCCAGCGGTGGCCATCTGATACTGAAATAAGTGTGTAAACTAGTAGTTGGTGGTGAAAAACCTTTCTGCTAACTATTGTAACTTCTATGTAATTCCCAGGACCAATGGCTCCTATGCGTTTGCACTTTGTGTGTTTGAGCCGTTTCATTCTCTGATCTGTTGAGGAATCCACAATTTTGTAAAGTCTTTTGAGATGATTGCTACACAAAAATAAACTGAATTGAACAAAAATGTCAACATAGTGCGTTTCCATGACTCCACACAAGTCTCTCGCACGCCATCCTCCAAAAGCAGTCATATTTTAGGTACACATTATTTTTAACACTGGCTTAAAACACTGACTTTGCAATTTAGAAACTCCGCAGGGAAATGCATGTCTAATTCTGATCCTGCTTTAAAAACATACATTACAACACTGAATAGCGTCCACATAATTTGCTCCGACAAGCCGAGACAAGCGACGTTGCTAATGCTAATACCGCTGAAATCACTCTCACGCATCAGTTTTTACCAAATCCCCGTTTGTGAGTCACGTCACAGCTGATACGTGAACGCTTACAGGCCGTACACGATAATAGGATCTGTGGAGGAAAGTGAATCATTTTAATTACACACCGGAATACTAATGCACAAATAGCTTGCGCCGGTCGCTCCGCAGAGCCCAGCGAGCCGAGAGGGCGTCTCTTGAGTGAATTTATTTATCCGCACGGCCCGCTCATCAGAATTCCGCCGCCCTCTGCCCTTTCCTCGCTAAATGCCACGGCCCGTATTTGAATGAGAGAGAGCGGGACGCGCAGACTGGCTGTCCACCTAAAACAAATAGTCAGCTTTGACAGCTTGTAAATCCCAACGGAACGAGTGATGCAAAGAGAAGAGACGGGTCGTTGCTTTGAGGGGTTTCATCATCATCGCGTCCATCAAATAGTTTCCAAGGATATTAGTATTAGTGGTAATTTTTTCATCACATATCGTTTCTGAGAGAAGTCCGGAACAGCATACTAAAAGTGCTAAGAATTTCTTGTTGGGAAAATACAGGTGGAACACGGAAAATTATGTTCAAAAGTCCATTCACTTCTACAGTCCAATTTACAATGTGAAACAGTCACTACACAAAAAAAGACAGATTATACCTTTATTTGTAAGGCTGGTAATTATATCAAAGCCAATTAGAAAGAATAAAAATAAATACTGTGTTTGAGACAGACTTTAAGCCATAACATGATAAATAATAATACATTCTTGGCATATGTCACTTTGCATGTAATGAGACAGTATTATATCTAAGTTTCATATTTTTAGTTGGATTACAGAAAATAATTCACTTTTGAATGATGCTCTAATTTTCAGAGTTTCACCTGTAGATATTTAATCTTGATTCAAAATGTGTGCCAAATGAATTCTACACATTATTTATCCTGTTCCAACTGGGACTCGAAACCAGGACTCAGGAGGTGAAACACACTCGATAATCACAGCCCAATGGAGCCGTTTCAGACTCACATTCCGACCAGAATTGTGAGGACAACGAAAAGGCTAAAAAGAGGTGTATTCAAGTGTATTTTCTGGCCATATTGGCACCAACCTTGAAAGGATGAAAATTGAAATAAATTTGAAAAACAGGATTTTTTTAGGACTAGTAGTATAGTGGTAGGGTTGTGGACATGTTCTCGTCACAGTGGCTGAGTGGTTAGCACTCTCACTTCTCAGCAAGGTTTGGTTCGAATCCCGTTCGGAACAGGGCCTTCCTGAGTTTGCATGTTCTCGGCAAGGTTTCCTCTGGGTGCTCCGGTTTCCCCTATCACTAAAACATGCACAATAGGTCTGAACGTAACGAGTGAGTGAATGGATCGTGTGGTTGGAGGCTTTGATCCGCCAGTGTGTTGCCATCACGGTGTTTGCAGAGCATGGGACAATATCTGAACTCTGAACATTATAAAGTGCTTTGAGTGACCTCGGTCTGTAAAAATGTGCTATATAAATAAAGCCTACTCACTTACTTAGAGTTTATTAATGTCTTTGTTTTCAGCCAAAGGCCCTGGGTTTCTTATAGAGCTTTTTCATCACAGCCTGACGTGTTTGATGCACTTCAGAGGTCAGCGTTGGTACCTTTTTCTGTAGATTTCATCACGAGAGTTTCAATAAAACAAGTGATGAAAGTGAAAGAGGAATTGTCAGGGGAGACGAATTTAAGAAGAGTCTGACTGATGTAATCCTGTGGTCAGACTTTCACCTCATGTAAATCTGTCAACACTAACGGAGAAAACAAAGTGAATGGAGATAAATTAGATAAAACATTAGATCTTAACATTATTTCCCATCTACATTTTGTCTTTTCAGTTCAGTCAGGGGCTAGACTTGAATTGACAGAACAGTGGTGGAGTGTCATGCAGTGTTGCCTCTAATGGCACATTGGTCTCTGCTTCCTGTGGCTCAGATAATTGACTTTAGAGCAGCTCTGCTTGTATAAATCTGGGCCTAAGTACATCTGTGACATGTTAGTGTCAAGTTATAAGATATACTTTTCCTCAAAGTTAAATTTGTGCCCTTCCTTCTTTGTCACTAGGGCGTCTGTCAGGAACAGTGGTCGCCGTAGTACTGTGTCTGGGGACCCATTACCAGATGTTGACGCTCGGCTTGGTCAGGGGATTGGACCTGGAGGATTTGACCAACTGCACATGTGTCAGTGGTAGGAGAAACCAGAGCACCCAGAGGAAAACTACACAGACACTGGGAAAACATGCAAACTCTGCTCAGAAAGGCCCTGTTCGGACTGGGATTCAAACCCAGGGCCTTCTTGCAGAGAAGTGAACGTGCTAACCACTAAGCCGCCGTGTCTGAGTGGCATTCAACTAGCTTGAACTCTGAGAAGCAGAGGGACTGGCCACCTCAGTCTTCCTGAAAACCATCAAAATTGACTCATCAATATCTGCTTAGCAGTGCTCACTCTTTCTAGATGCAAATAACTTTATAGTTCATCCAAGCCAAGCGTCACAGACTACACATGTACTCACTTGTTTTATTCCATTTGTACTACTATGTTAACGATTTGCCTTCACAAATACACCCCAGCATGATCTAGTGACCTCATTCTCGGGCGACTGAAGGACGTCCATTTATCCAGTGGCTAAAGAGTTGAGTGATGGCGAGCTGTGTGGCATTTTTCTTCTTGCAACGACAGAGATGAATCCAGGAAGTGTCTGCGCTCAGACCAATACGCCCCAGATGCATTAGCAGAACTGAAGTCATAGCCTGGTCCGAATGGATGGATATTTCTGGCTGTCGAGCAGGGGCCCGTGATGTTGTTACCGCGGTTATGACGCCTGTTGACTGATGGGGCAATTATTGTGGCGCTGTCCAAGCCGGTGGTCAATTACTCCCATATATATCCCCCCACTGGTTGTCTTCGGGCAGCTCTTAATGTGAAATGATGGTAATGAGACGTTTTCATTTTCTGCTTTTCTATTGGGAAACATTCAGGAATAAACTACAATGATATTTCATGTGGATTTTGGGATGTAATTTGGAGAGTGGATGAGAAAACCACTAAACCGAACAAAAAGGATGTCTCGTAATCAGGCATTTTTTGTGGGTGACGGAAGAAATCAATGTCAACAGATTTTACATGTATTCTAGCACAATTCTCTCTAGTCTTGGGGGCAACCTCAAGAATGTTTCATTGTATTTTTTCGTCCACATATGACTATGACAGATGTACTGTGGTCTGGACCTAAGCCCAGTTAAGGTTGCTGCTGCTTGTTCCCAGGAACACGTAAGAGAGTACATTACCCCTGTGCTGGCCTCACTTCACTGGCTCCCTGTCACATTCACAGTTGATTTTAAGATTCTGATGCAGTTTAAATAGTTTAGCCCCTGTATATCTGACAGAGCTGTTATCTCTGTGTCCTTCTGTCAGATCAGAAAGCTTGAATGTTCACAGATCTCGTCTCATAACTTGAGGAGACTGGGACTTTGTTGTGTTCCCAAACTGTGGAATAATTTCACTCTGTACATAAGAGCAGATCCTTCATTGAGGGTTTTTAAATCTAGACTAAAGAGACAAATTTGTGCCTTGCCTTTTAACGCCAACTGAGTTCTACATTATGCTAAAGGTAGAGATGTAATACTTGCTTCTTTATTATGCCAAAGGTAGAGATTGAATATTATTTTATTTAGTATTGAGTTATTGCTAATTTATTTTGTGTTGTGTGCTCCTCATTCCAACTGATCTGTAACTGGTGATGCAACACCGAAATGTCACCACTGTGGGACAAATAAGAAATCTCTTAATTTTCTACCGTTTTAAATCTTATACGTATTTGTGTGCATCTCATTCTGTTATTTTGTGCATGTAACACACTTTAGGCAGCAGCTGTTATTGTTGTTGTTGTAGTACATGTGCTATACAGATAAAGCTGACATTAACAGAGCATGTGTGTTGCTACATTTATAGACGTATAGGCCTCCACAAATAAGTGAAAATAACCAAAAGGACATGTTTTTTGGTGTAGGTCAAACTGCATGGCTGCTAAAACCCTTTGAGCCGGAGAGTGCCCCGCTGTGAGGCTAGTGACACATTTATAGAGTCCACACCTCACATGTACGCAATATTAGCTCTCGCAAACTTCAAAATGTGCCAAATCCAGTCAAAATTCGCAGTCTTGTAAAAAGAAAGTGAGGAGTTGCTGTGACATATGGGGATTTCACTACTGACTGGGTAATATTGCAACATTTGCCTTTGGATGAATTGAAATAATTGCAGAAGCTGAAACACTTCACAAAAGCAGCTTTCGTTGCTCAGATTTCTCAATTTAAAAACACAGTAAGTGACAATAAGGAATTATCCTAGTTCCAGCCACTGCCTAATTCTGTTTGACCATGGAACAACTCAATCTATAGATGCATAAATACATGAGTAATCGGTGCCGCCTCAACTCCACCTTTGTGCTTTAGGGCAGCTGTGGCTACGGTATATCATAAGCTGACCAGCGAGAACCACAGAGATCATGAGAGTCTGGATCTCTGCCCTGAACAGTGTTTGGATGCATTTTATTGGACAGAAAACAGGAAATGGTTGCAGAATTGTGTATCATGTGTCTGTTTTGTGCAGAGTAGTGTTAGTTTACTCCTATAACCTTCTTTCATAACAATTGAACAATAATTTGAGATTTTGGTCATTGTGCAAAGCAGAGGCTGTATCCAAATTCAGCAAGATGACCTATTTCCCTGTGTTTCAAAAGTTACCTTATGAGATTTACTGCCACTTTGGTCAATTTTATGCCACCCAGGTCAATAAAAATTAGCCAGAAGAACAAGGACGGACAAACAAATATTAAATCAGATGCACGGCAAGTTCCACATTCCTAGTTCTGCGATTGGTCGAAAGATGTTCTATTTCAGGTTCTAGGAACTACTACGCCCAGTCTCAAACCCAAGCCAAGTGTCAGACAGTAGAAGAATCTGGCTGTTCAGGCGAGTAGTTTTTCAATGAGTGAAAGAAAAGTAATGTTTATACCTAGTTTGATGTATGGTGTGTCACCTGGTATGAAATATTCACATGAACTTATTGTGGTTTGTCTAATCCTGTCAGAACAGGCCAGACATGTGCCGACCTTCCCGCAGGATACATAAATCAAACACTGTACACTTGGCATGTTGATAGGTTGTCACGGTGATGCGAGGGGGCAGTCCTGTGGTAAAAATGCAGTGACAGGACAATCATGAGGAGGTCGTGAGTGAAGGCGACAGAGAAAGAGAGACAGAGGGTGAGACGGACAGAAACAGACAAAGCGATAGACAGACAGAAAGAGAGAAACAAAGAGGGACAAAGACAGAGACAGAGGGACAAAGACACAGACACAGACACAAACACAGACAGAGACAGAGACTTACTTCAGCGTCTCGGCCAGGAAGAAGCTCTGCTGCACGTCGTCGTGGTTTGGACTGGTGGCATACACGTCTCTCAGTCCACTGTAGCCGCCCTCAACTTTACAGTGCTGCTCCAAAGCCTGGACAAGACAGAAACACTTTACACTTCCCTGTTTGACTGAATAATGAGACAGGCTTCCAGCACTATACCCTCAGTAAAGGTTGAGTGGGGCAATCCAATTCTTTTCAACAGAAAGAAAAGTGCATTTCTTACAGGAGCTGTGAACTATAGCCTTTGGTAATTGACATTGAGACAGTAGACTGGATCAAACTGAATATCTTAAACCTTGAAACAGTATCTGATTCTAAAGCACATTGTACCCGCCATATGTACTTCATATCTGTATCATGCATCAGTATCTTATCTCTGTAACATGTATATTGACACACAATGTTGTCTGCATATAGAGCCCCAGTAACTTTGAAGTCATTCTGGGAATCTGAAAAATAAAAATTAAATTGTGCCAAAACGATCCAAGCTGCCTCTATCTCACCACACAGGCCAACTATCACAGAGCCTGAGGTCCAGCTATGATTTAGATCAGGGGTGTCAAATTCTTTTTGGTCAGGGGCCGATTATAAAAAATAGGAACTGGTCGAGGGCTGAAACAATATAAGAGATTTTGTTTTCTTATAATAGTTTTTTACATAATGAAGGTAATTTAACATGACTTTAATGTGACATTAGTTACATGTCATTGTAACAAGTTATTTTCTGGTTTATTTTTCTGAAAACAAAATATGTTTATTGTTTAGATTGAACCAAACCTGGATCAAATATAAAGTTAATCACATTTTATATTGAACTATTTAACTTCTAATAATGTGTTATTGGGTAAAAATGCTAGAATACATTAAATTTGGTTGTTTTCTTGAGAAAACAGATGATGTATGACCTTCCTTGGTCGCCCATTACCATCAGTGCTGCAAGTTAATAATAATAAAAAATAATGTTAGGGGCAGCTAAAAATTGCCTTGCGGGCCGAATCTGGCCCCCGGGTCTTGACTTTGACACCCATGATTTAGATGGTGAGGATTAAACAAGTTGGAAATAAGCGACCCAAATGAGCGGATCCATCATGAGAAAATGTCAAAATAGTTTGATTCTATCAATAGTTTGAATGCATTTTTAGCCTCTGTCACATCTTTAGATCAGCATTTTCAGACAGAAAAGTTAAAAAAGAACCAGCCAATCAGCCTTCAGTATGCCAATCATAATATGTTCCATAATGATAGCATGTTGTGGTCCAATTTGTCCCCAATTTTCCACTTAAACAAGACTATTTAAATTGGGAAAATCAACATATATTTATGAGGAAACAAAGTAAATGTAAATTGCTTTTAATTCGTGGATAGCACGCCCCTTTCTTTAAATTCTTAATACAGATATGAGGTGCCTTGCCATTGGTCCAACTATTCTCTTCCAGCAAATCTTATAGTGGACCAACTGCATTAAATGGGTTGCTTTTGAAAACATTTCATACTACGTGGTCATATGGTGAAAAATATGCAACATTTTAAAAATGAAATACAATTCAGTCACTGGCGTCATCTTTAAGGAGGCTATAATATCATAGTAGTTGTAAAGTTCCCAGAGACAACTGCTGTTTGATGTTGAGTTGCCTTGTGTATGAACTGTGCAAGCGTCAGGACTAAACATGGGGAAGCAGCGTTTCAGATTTAAGCAGCTAAAATCTGGAACAGTCTTTCGGAAAATGTGAGAGAGGTGTCTACTCTGAAAATGTTCAAATCCAGGTTAAAGACTGTTCTGGTATAGCCTGGTCGTACCACACCATAGTACAAATGACATTTCGTACTAAGGTCTGGAGGTGCTCCATTGAGCTCCGTTTACAAGTGGGAGGGTTTAACTCCTTTTGCAGATTGAAACGATTGGATCTGAGTTTACCGTGACGTATGTAGTGCGCCCGAGTCTGTTGTTAACATTTAGCATTTAGCCTAGCCATCTCCTTTGCTGCTAACGGAGCCCGTGGGGAGTAGCGCCACAATTTGTTCCAGTGATTACATTTGCTAAACATTACCCTTGCTCCGGCTTCAATTTCTTGATAGTAAAGTAATCCGGTCTGGTTCTATCGCATTTTTCGCTATTACCAAACTACAACCTGCCCGTTCGACGCAAACTCTTGACATCGGACCTGCCTTCCGCGCTCTCTGAATGGTCGGCTGAAATTCAACCGATTGTAATCGGTAACACAGGGACTAGACCCAGATGTTACATGCAGTGAAATGATGATTGAACGGAGTGTACGGATGGCTAAGGCCAGGCTAGTTTTGTTAACCTTTGCATACAACTGAAGGACTTTATCTCTATGTTTAATGCACTGTGGTTATTTATTATTTCAATCCCTTGTGTGATTTTAATGTTTTTAATTACCTGTGTGATATTAACTGTGATTTGGTGTTTGTTTTATGTGAGGATTTATGCCTTGTGTGATGTGGACTGTGAAGCTCTTTGTGTTGCCTTGTGTAGGAAATACGCTCTACAAATAAAGATTGCCTTGCCTTAGGGCTTATACAAAAATAAACAGGACAGCTGTAATCCTCACCTGCACGGCCTCCCAGCCCCACTCCCTGTACTTGGGGTCGTGGGTGAACCTCCACATGTACATATACGTCTCGATGACTTCTGGGCGCAGGATGAAGTACTTCTCGTTCTGTCGAGTGGCGATGGCCTCCACTCCTCCGTCGAAACGGAAAGCCTCTGGACCCAGCTTCAAAGCTGTGGAGATAAAACGTCATCAAAAGAGCTGCACACATCAATGAAGAGATCGCAAAGAAATCAGTAGCGCCCACACGCTGAATCTCGAGAATTATTTAATTGCTGAAAGATGATAGATAAAATGTTTCCAGTAGTCGCTAAGCGTATACCTAGTGTGCAACCGTATAATAAGGTAAAATCAGAACCTGGAGCATAGCACTTTAAATTGAATTGAATAATTGAAAGTCTTTGTTGAAGCAGGAAAAGGCATAACTAAACATCCACCAGACTACGACCAGAGCTTGACAAAATGGACAATGAAACAGAGAAAGGAACTACATTTTTTTCCCCACCCTTGCATTTATCCATAAAAGGTTTTTTTAAAATGTAAAACAGACTAAAGGTGAAGCCCCGAATATTTTAAAAGGACAATTCAAATCAAGCACAGGAATAAATACAAAAATAAATAGAAGAATGTGTTAGGCTTCAACCTAAACGGTTAACTGCATTCAGCCCGTCTCTCATAGTCATTTTATTAATGTATTTGATAGGCAATGGCATCCCCTGATCAATAGAGAAAGGCTCTTCTTCTGTCGGGAACCTCAGTCTTCTCTGGATGTGCCTCTGGTTCATTAAGTACTTTAAAAATTCTCAAAGCTTAAAAGATTGTGCTTTTTAAAAATTTACAAACATGGAATGGATTCTTTGTAGAGTGATTCAATTGTTTTGAGAGTACTGGCAGAATGAAGAGACCAGCTTGTGATGCAATACTCAACATGTGACAAAATAATTTCTTGTGAGAACATTTTAGCAGCATTCTTAAATCTCTCAACATGTTTCAACATACTTTACAAAAAATGCTTCTTTCCTATAGAGTTGAATCAGCATTTGCCCTTCCAAATGAAAATAAAATTCTACATGACAACAAACCTATTCCAAACCCCTCTGAACCCGGACAGACGACCACCCGTTGCCGTGACGACATGCCTGTGGTGAGGTGGTGTTACCTGTGCGGGCGTATGACTCGTGGCAGGTGCGCGCGATCTCGGCTGCTAGCTCCATCTGGTGACCGGTCTTGTCGCTGGGCGCTCCGTCGGCTCCCAGGGCGATCATGCCTCCAGCGAAACAGGTGAGGTGGCCCATCTTGTGCTCCAGCAGGCCACCCTTCCACTCCGCAATGTAGGTCAGGCCGCTGCTCGACTTCCTCATCAGGTTTGTCTCGATGGCCTACAACAGAAAGAAGAGTTCATAGAGTATTCTGTCGGAATCTTAGTTATCAGCTATTCAATCATGAATGTCTTAAGACTGCACGGTTAATCACAATCGGAATCAAAATGTTTGTGATCGCAATTAGCAATTATAAAAAAAGCTACATTGTGTATTATGTACTACTAGTGGTCTTATATAGTCATTACAATTACACTTATAGCTCTTAAGCACTTGATCTAGAAACAGTACAAACTATTATATGACAGTATATGACCTATTACGCAGGGACGTATGAGATAGAGAAATTCTAAAATTAAAATTCCGTGTTTGTAATTTGTTTTGATCTGAGTTTATTTTAACGATTTGTCAAAACAACAAGCAGGTATTATTCATGTTGTTGTCAGAAAGAAGCTTTATCTTCTTATTCCAAATGAGGAAATATATCTAATAAGCTCACGACTCAGGTCTGTATTTAGTGAGAAAAGCTAAAGCTAATCAATTTATGCATTTAAAATTTTTGTCATGATTTTTGTATTTCTAATAGATAAACATGGCTGTACTATAGATCAAAACTCTAAACATTTTCTGAAATGTGTGGTAATTGTGTAGGAGGTAATTGTGCATCTTGTTTTTTTAATAGCTGTTTTTACTAAGACTATGACTTTTTAAACATGCAGGATACCAAAGAACGCATTGCACTGTCGGTCAGAAATCTTAAAATGATAATCATGCAGCCCTCAAAGGTCTATGTTAAAAATACATGATTGTGTTTTTAAATTAGATTTTGTGCAGCTTTAGGGGCTCTCTGATTCATCAGCGCCCTCCAGCTGAGACCAGAGAGTCACCACTGCTTACATTTGCTCCTCCTCAAAGTCACGGTTCACTTTAGGAGACCGGCCTGTTAGTTCAAGCTCATCTGTCGTCTAAAGTTCTCCCCCCCGCCTGCTCTGTCTCCCTCCCATCTGCCACTTTCTCAAGATAGCGATTGAGAGAAATACTATTATCAACGTATGGCCACAGACGGTGTTTACCAGAGGCATAAAAGTAGCATAGGAGCATAGTAATCCAATATTGTTCCCTGCCAAGTGGAAAAAGGGCGCGGGAGGAGATTTGTTCTGTTTTCTGGATACAGCCTTTGATTTGGGCTCGGGAGGGGGTCGAGCTGGGAAAATCGATGTCTCTTGTCTATAGTGTAATAATACCATGCTGTTAGAGGACAATCCTTATGTGCATTGGATGAATACATAAAATCCATAAGTCCTGTGTTTATGACCAGTGTGACGTGTTGTGTGAGCCAAATCTCACACAAAGAGAAAGATTACTATTATCAAGATGTGAATTGTGACATAGGTCAAACATAAAGTAGCAAATGTTAACACCCTATGTGTTTTAGTCAATGCATTTTCTAGGGACCACGAGACCCCGGGACAGGGACTTCTCTACGGCTGGTCCAAAGCCATTGAGCGTTCGGGCAATCGGGCCCAAAAGGTTCAATTCTGGTCTCATCTCTCATTTTGTATAGCCCTAAATCACAACAGCAGTCATCTAAGAGAACTGAGTTGTCAATTCCTAAACAAAACATCACTGTCCTTAGACCCCCCCTGCATTGCCAATGAAAAAAAAGAAAAACCTTTGGACATATAGAGATGGGGATCCACTCAAGCGGACGTCTGCTGTAGAGGTCCATCCCCATTACCTGTAAAGCATCGTAGTACAGCTTCTTCCCCTCGTCGTCCGATCTGTCCGACATCAGCCAGGCTTTGAGCAGATACTCGTAGAAGCTGTCGCCAAGGCCGCCCACTGAAACGTGATCTGTAATTCAGAACAAACACTCAGGTAAGTAGTTCCAAACCTGCTAATGTGCAAGACCCGTCACAATCGCTTCCAAACGAGCAGGTCAAGGCCTGGGTTTGATATTACTTTACAGGTGAGACTCATTCATATGCATGTGTGGTTATGGGTGCAGACAGTTTGTGCAGCCCGCAGATTAAATGTCAAACGCCATCATGTTTCGAAGGAGAAGGCGACAGTGATGCAGATTCCTCCGGGTTTGAAGACACAAATGTGAGCCGGCCCACATGGAGCTGATGCTAATGCTCAGAGAAAAGGCTCCGGAGACGGAACGACACGTGTGATAAACCCAATGGGGATCATGAGGAAGAGGCTCGGCAGGTTTATGAGTGAAGCCAATTCAATTCCATTCAATGTACTATTGTATAGCCCTAAATCACAAAAGTCGTTATCTCTGAGGACTTTACTAATTTCAGTCCAGAAAATCAAACGGTTTAGACATAGGAAATGCAATGATGAAAAACAGTCCATAAGGGGCAGATGACCAATGCCTTAGACCCACCTACATCTGCAAGGAACAACTCAACAAACCCAGTAGGAAAAAATGAGAAGACATTGAGAGAGCACTCTACTCCCACGGACAGATGGGCTATAGCTTCAGGACAAAGGCTGTAGAACGAGGACTGAGGCTACCAGGTGCGGAGGGGAGTGCAGCCCAGGAGCCCGGGCAGGGTGAGACAGAATTGAATTGAATTGGACTTGCGGGTTCAGAGACTTGGACTAGACTCAGATTTGCGAATCAGAGACTTTTGTGCGTCTCTGGACACTGGGGTACACTGCACTTCACCCTGAAACATCTATACTTAACTCACATGAACACATACAAGACATAAGATAAACATCTCCAAGTTGTAGAGGCCATACAATATTTCCCTGTGAACATTTGTCTGCAAACATCCGCAGGTCATAATTAATTCAACAAATGCATTCCCGGCTCTGCTCTGTAATATCGTTCAAGATGAAAAGCTCAGCCTCAAATGAGCATAAAGCCGTTTGTGAACTATTCTTTCCCTCTATATTTGTGAAGCTTGTCATCTCTATTCACTGTCCCTAATTGAATGCGTTGTGATTTGCATAAAAAAGTCGGACGGATTGACGCGTTGTGCTTAAAGCCGGCCATTAGCAGCGCACTTTCAAAGGTTTATTCAATACTACTGCACATCACATCCAATAGTTCAGCTGAGGAGACAGGAATAGTCCCCACAATGTCTCCAGCACGTACACACACACACACACACTTTTGACTCTTCTGTTCTTTGTCAATACATACTGGGTACCTAACATTTTCATTCATAAATAATCAATGTTTGTGCCCACAGACTTTGGACTTTATTTTATCTTTGTGCATACTTCTACTAAAGAGCCCTGTGAGTCACTATATATATTTGGGCAGAACAGGGCATGGCAAGAAGATCCACAACGACTTTTTGTGAGGAGTTTGCACGTTCTCCTTTGTCTGTGTAGGTCTCCTCGGTGTGCTCCGATTTTCCCCCACCACTAAAACCCCAACAATTCCCCTAAAGACCACTACTGTAAAAGCAATTTAAAAAAAGAAAACATATATGTAAAAAACTCACAAATGTTGAAAGTCTGAGTCTGTAGCAGTTAGATATGGTCATTGGATCATTTTGGCACAATTACTTTTGTTTAAAAAAGTAGCTTTTGTGAGCTATTGGCCGCGGAAGTCCGAATCTGATGCTAACTTTACCAAACTTCAGCAGTGATGATGGTGCGGGCCACGCTGGCGCTTGTCAACATTAAGCCCATGGATGTGATCTGGGCTAATGCTGCTGGGCTAATGTAGGTTGTTTTGGTTCTCCTGGCGTCAGAGCCTGCACTAGCTTTAGCCAATCGACACCGGGTTAACCTCAAGTCCCACCATAGCCCGACTCCTTCGGGCCCCGTGCAATTTGATGACATAATGACCTATCGCAATATGCCGGTATAACAAAAATCTCTGTCGTTGGCCAAATGTTTAGCTTATACCGCTTATATTGCCTAGCCCTAGCTCAATACAATGAGTTAACAAGAGTTGGGAATAAAGTGACTGTGTGGAAATAGATTTTAAAAAAATCAACTCTCAGCCTAAAAAGTCAAATAATGACTCCCAGGGTTCTTTTTTGATTTGTTCACAACATTTTACTTTTGTGCGCAACCAACATGCATTGTTAATTCATCGGGAAATGTAGGTACCCTTGCTTGTGAGTTTTCGTTGCGCTTCGGTAGGAGACACTTGCAACACGCCTGGGATGGCCCTGTTGTACGCAGGTCTATGGTCTGCACTCCTTACATTATGATGACCAAGTTAAGGCTGTGCGTTCGCTGTCAAAGCAACTCCGAGGAACCGCTGTCATTACAAAGCGGTTCCCGTCCTGAAAGGGTTAAAGTAATACTACTGTGAGCTCAGGCAACTTGCTTAGACAGCGCACTTGTTTGTCCCAAATATTTAGTTGCCGCGGACAAACGGACAACCGTTAATAACGAGCCCTGCTCGGCATATGTCACTTAATGCGTCCGTCATATATTAGTTTTACATTGTAAAAGCAAGAGGAATTCTTAGGAAATTTTTATGTTGGCAAAGTTGTTGTGGCTCTACTCCCCACGGGCTCCGTTAATGGCAAAGGAGATGGCTAGGCTAAATGCCACACCTAGCCCCGGCGATCCAAGATGGCGCCCTATTCAAATGAATGGTTGTGCTCAGTGGCGCTTTGTGACGGCATGGGGGCTGAAAGATTAGCGGAAGTCGCCTGGAACTCGCAAAGATCTATGGGAAACTCGCAAAGCTCTATGGGAAACTCGCCTGTATTTGGGCAACGTCTGGTCCTCCCGGTTTTTTGCGCAGTGGATGATCTCCCATAATGCGTTGCGCCAAACACGCGTGTGTGGGTCTCACACGGGGTCTCACGCACGTGCACAGAGGGGCTCGGCCGCGCTCTGACCAATCAGAGCAGTTCATCAGAGCGGGAGTTAGAGCGAGAGCCAGACGAGCAGAGTTTGTGGCAGCAAAGTGTGGATTTAAACAAAACCGAAGGATTTAAGAAGAAAAAAAGTTCAGGATGACAAGGGACACTAAAATCCCCACAAATACCTATCTTTATTAAAAATGTAGGTTCTCTGTCAGCTGAGGTCGAGCTGTTTCAATATGCATCGAGTTCTATGGGGAAAATTTCTGGGTAGCCCACGTGAATTTAGTCTGGTTCAGTCTGCAGTACCGCGAGAATCCCCCGAGCACATGAGTTATTCAGCTACAAGCTAGTAATACCCTATCCAGTTATTATAATAGATCCATGTGCCACACTCACTCGGGCGCATTACATACGTCATGGAAAACTCAGATTCAATCATTTCAATCTGCAACAGGAGTTAACCCCTCCCACCTGTTAACGGAGCTCAATGGAGATAATCCAGACTGTAGTACGAAATCAAGTTAGTAGAATGGTATGGTAACACCAGGCAATTATGCTAAAGCTAGAAATTTCAATTTATTTTTTATGTTACTTTATTTAGAGAGAATAAAGATTAGTAAAGAGTATAGAGCTGGGTTCATTTATCTTGTGTGCTCCTCATTCCTACTGTTGAGTAACTGGTAATGCAACGCTGAAATTTCCACACTCTGGGACAAATAAATGATCTCTTAAAGTGTAGGAGTGAATGGACTTTTGAACGATAGAGTTTCACCTGTATTTCTAATTGCGGTAATTTAAACAATCTCAGTGATACATAATTACATATAAAAAATATCTCCAATACTTCTCTATCATTCGCCCACTCTACAACGTCCCCTTAGATTGTTGACTCCAGTTTTGTCCCTTGCATATACAACATGGCATCATTTCAAATCGATTATTGAACTACTCAACCTACGAAGCCCCAAGAGATATGGAAAACAAGAGAGAGAAGGGAGGAGCGAGCAAACGGAGGCGTGCACGTATAGAGTTGAATAGAGAAGTGAAGTGAGAGGAGAAGCCTATATGGTTGTGGAAACGTATCGCTAAAAGCTGGTGTAATCTCACTTGTCATGTTTTGTAGGAAAACGCCGGCTGAGGAGATAATGAAAGTGACAATAGCAACAAAGTCTCAAATCGCTCTCCGTTTTTCAGCGGGTGCCAGGGACGAAGCTCTTTGAAAGCAGAAAATCACGGTGTCAACTTTAAACATCAAGGCTCGAGATAGACGTTTTACGTCTCGCACAGAGAAGTCTAAGCCGGCGCGCAGGAACACATATTTATGAAAGAGTAAAATGGTGGGGTTATCAAAAGTAACGCAAGCAATAAATGCATTTTGCCCGATAGTTAAGTGAAGGAAAACACAGATTTCAAAATATTTTGGTCAAATAATCAAAATCGCATTGTACACTACTTGAACAAAAATAAAAGTTTTGAAAGTGTATTTGCAATTTTGTTTTCGAAATTAAAGAAAAATTGGCAGTACGTATGAAAAGTTTTGCTCAAGCAGAGGTGAAACTTATTTGGATAGCACTAAAATATATCTTGCTTTTGAAAAAACAACTTGGAAGCCTTTGGATTATTTGGCCTGTATCTAATTTTGCAAATACAATATTGAAATCTTTGTTGGGGGAATGTATATCAGATGTACTACATCTACGAGTGGTCTAATAATTACGACTAATCACACTTTTGTTGCCAGAATACTCTTGCCAGTCACACCTGTAGCGCCTAAGCACCGATAACTGATGCAATCCACCTGCTGGGGTTTAACTAGAAACAGCCCTTTCTCTTTTACACATGCTTGTCTTTGCATCTGCCTTCATTTAATCACCTGGTGGTGCCCTTTCTTGCTTGTGTGTGTGTATTTGCATTTATTTTTATTTTTTTTATGAGACAAAGCGTATTCGTGAACAGCTGGAGCAGTAAATGCATTTGCATCAGAAGGCCCACAGCAGGGACGTAGGCAGAAATGTTGAATAGGGCGGACCTGGCCGCTATGGTGAATTAAAGTAGATTTAGGAATATATTTGGCAGTAGAGGATTTAACCTTTAGAGTCTTAATAAATGGTATACATTATATTTAGTCATAATAATATATACATGGCATTATAAAACAAATCACATACATTTATCATCTTAAGTTAAAGTCAAACCAACTTTACTCCAGGCCTTTGAGCTAAACTGAATCTTAACATCATAAAAATATCAAAAGATAATCACTAACAATAAAACCACAGCAAAGTGATGGAGGCACTTTGGACAAAGAAAGACGTAAGCAGGACTCCTGTTTTTCAGACTCAAGTGTGCCTGTATGTGCGTGTGCGTGTGTGTGCGTGTGTGTAGCTCCACGCACACACCACAACAGCTGGTGTGGCGCTTGTGAGACACTGCTCGCGAGTCCGCGGCCAGACCGAGTCCGCATTTGCGGTTCACGGTGTGCAGCTCTGTTCTGGATCAAAAGCAGCTTCAAACTTCTACGTTGGGCACTTCTCCCGCACCCGCAAACAGTGAACATCATTGTCACCGACAGAGAGCTATGACTCTGACTCTGAATGGGGCCTGACCGCACAGATTCACCGCGGTCCATACACTGTAGAAACACGCGGCTGCATCGTTTGTGCGGCACAGGACGCTGTTATTATTTTGTGAGACCATGGATGCATCTAAGAGGGCACAGCCCATCAGAGACATTGCAGAAGCAAAAAAATATTCAATATAGAAGACAATTAAGAGTCTGACTGCCACACAGAGTGGATAGTAGGAGCACTGAAAGTAATTTTTCAGCCTCTAAACCTCCTGTTTCTCAAATGGAGTCAGTTCTGTCTCTGTCTGTGTGCAGCCTGAGTTTCAGTGCAGTGCAGTGACAGATTATATGTAAATGTGTTGAATTGAGATAGATCCGCAATAATTTTCTCTGATTACTCACATTTTACGAGGCTCAGGGGAAACGCATTTCTTGACACTGGCTACACGGCTTCACTGATCACTTTTCAGAGAGCGCTCCCAGACGGACTTTACTGAAAGTAAACAGTAGCTACTCGTAGAGTTTGGCGCCTCGCTATTTTAAGTGCAGGTGGAAGACAGCCAATCACAGCAGAGAGATGAGGGTCACGTGCTGCTGCTGTGGAGGCGAGGAGGAGGCGCGGTGGGTGAACGTATAATCATTTATTAATACATTTTTAAAGGCTTTGGTTTGAATGTCAATGTAAAGCATTTTTTTGAAGAGTGAATAAAAGTATCAATCATAAAAAATAGTGAGAAAAATCATGCAAGCCTTCTCAGGGGGGGCCAGGCCCTGGGCCAATCAAAAAAGTGGGCATGCCTGGTACCACCCTGGCCCTAATGTGTCTACGTCACTGGCCCACAGTCAACCCTCACCTATTGTACTCCTAAACCTAAACTCCACACAGACAGATCCTCGAGGTGGAATCGATTCAACCATTTGCATGTCTTCTGTCCGTGTGCCCCTGGGCAGATGTGGCCATAGTAGTAGATCATCACCACAGTGTATAGAGTAAATGAATATTGCCATGTGAAGCGTTTTTAGTGTAAAAAAAAAAAATTAAAAACGCGTTACAGTTTTCAAGCTGCAAAATATTTATGTTTACCGCTTGAAAACAGTAAACATGAATAATATGTTCATTGTCGTTTTAATTGAGAACAACTGTAGTTTAGCTTTTTGTTCAGAAAAGGTCAAATATGCTTGACACATGACCCGTTGTCTGGGGACACATAGACAAGATGTAATTTAAAATGAAAATATGAAATACTATTCTTTCAAGACTCAAAAAAAAAGAGGAAAGGAGAAACCTTTTGAACTACTGTGAAAATGAATGACTGACTTCACATTTATAAATCAGGAAACTTTAAATTACAAAAATATAAGTTAGATGCAGCACAAGATTGCACAAAAATATGAAGTGAAATCTGAAATGTATTATAATGCTTTATCTTTCCCATTTCCAGCTACTTAAAATTCAGGAATGGGGATTTAAATGACAGGACTGACAGGAAGCAGTGGTTTCTGTCAGTACAAATTACAGGTGCAGAAAGTTTCTCTAAGAGACTCTGAAGAGCACTGAATCAGACAAGCCGTTTGAATTCATTACAACTTCAACGTCTGTCTGGAGGAGAAGTGCAGCACTGTGACATTTCCAAGTGTAATGCAAATGCTTATGGTCCTGTTTGACCTTTTTTTGCTTATATATGTATTGAAAAAACAAAGATAGCCAGTGTTTGTGGACATTTTGTTTATAGCTAATAATTTCAAATAACATTTGGTCTGGGGGCCGCATAGATGTGAATCTGGCCGGATGTGGCCCTGGGGCCTCACTTTACCCAGGTCTCTTTTAGACTCCTCTGTTTGATCCAAATGGAAGTAGAGGTTGTGTTGCTGCCTGCATGAGACTTACGTTGGCCCCACTGGCCGCTGTTTGGGTTCAAGTAGTTTGGATACAGTCCTTGTGGTTTGTCCAGACGATTCAGCACTTTCCGGATATTCATCACCTTGAAAAAAAAAATGAAAAAATGTGTTTATTTCTTTGACATTTTGGATGATTTATTCAAAGATAGAAAAATATGGAGCATTTACCTTCTGAGCAAACTCCGGGTTTCCAGACAGTTTGCTGAGATGCATAAACTCGAGATGGAGTGTGCCGTACTCGGCAAGGATGCTGCTCCCTCCTGATGCCCATGGCCAGTTTCTACCAATACCACTGCAAAACACACACAACACCACATTTAACGTTGTATTTTTTATGATGAACAGACAGTTAAAGACACAATATCCAGTATACTCGGGTCAAATTTCACAAATGGATTTGGGGACCAATCACATAAACAGGGGCAAAACAATATATTGTGCAGGTGGTAGCTTGTCGTTTGCTTACAAAACCAGCAGATGGCAGCAGACGTGTAGCTTTGCCTCATGTTTAACTGTGTAAACAGCATTCATCTTTCTTTTTCTTCTTCTTCCCTTCTCTGTGTATTTCTGTAGTGTGACATATGTTGCTGGGTTGTTTGATACTATTCTCCACTCGGAAAGGCCCTGGTCGATCAGGATTTGAACACTGGACCTTCTAGCGGAGAAGAAAGCCACCAGACTTTTGGCATTTCTCGCAAGTCAAATCCTTTTATGATTGATTACGAACAGACAAGAGTGTTTGCATCAGCTTAATGAAAACAATACAATTAAGAGAAAATGACAGGACGCAAGCATCCACAAATAACTTTGAGGTTAAAAATGAGGTATTTACAGCTCGCTAAAAAACATAGCAGCTACTCATTTTGTAAATTTTGAGTGCGCTGCAACATTGAAATTTTCCCACTGTGGGACGAATATCTTCTGAGGAGAACAATAACAAGTTTTAAAAGTTGACTATCCACTACATGTCCACTTTAAAAATATGTCCTGTTGGATTTATAGACTCTGTTGATCAAGACTAATGTTGCCGTTTGTTGTGACCACATCTATTAAACGTCCATCACGTCGGCCTCCTGTGTGTCCTGCTGCTGTCACCAAGACCTGAGCTGAAGTCGGAGGGTGGATCTTATCTGCAGACGGGACAAGGACAGAGCACTGAAGCCTTTGGGAGGAGGAACTGAGCGATCACATCCAGGCCAAGAGACAGATGACTCAGAGGGCAGCGCGTTAGGGAAAATGTGCTATTCACAGTTATGGCTGCATCAAGTGGCATTGGTGCGAACAAAGGACAATGCACATGGAAGACAAGATATGGCTAAATTTATAAATGTATTCATATATGTGCATAGTCATTGCCATGTATAAAGTATATCATACATATCAGGTATAATGTATAAGCTTTTATCTACAAAAAAAGATCCTTGTGAGTCTATCTGACGCTTTGGGTTGAGAAGGGGTTCAGTTTTCTGTCTGAAAAGGCTTATTTAAAGATGTGACAGAGGCTAAAACTACATACATTTGAAGCTAGTGATTGAAAGGCACTTTTTTGAGAGCCCTCAACGAGTTACACACATTTTGTGTTTGAAAAGATCCATGAAACTGAGGATCTAAAGCCAAAACAGAGAGGAAGTTTGAAGTGTTTGGTCATGATGTTTGTAGGAAGCAGGAATACGTTGGTATTTCACATGGTCTCCACCAGTGGGGCACATGCTTACAATACCACCCCGGGCCGATGGGGGTGGACCCGGAATAAGAATTAGCCAATGCTAACATATAGCATCTTCTTACCTCTCGAAAACGTCTTTACAGGATGGTTCAAAAGGTTTACGTTGGTGTTTCACATGGTCTCCACGTAGTGAATCATCAAACTAGGCTTTACTCTTTGATGATTTGAGATTTGACAAAAAGGAAAAAAACCAGGATGCCTTGGAACTTGGAACCACCATGTAACTTGGAGCCATGTAACTTGATAGCACCTCAATAAAAAAAAAAACAAGAACTCGTTCATTTCTGGTAATGTCAAGTACCATTAACAAAAATCACTGGAGGTGCAAAAATATGAAGATGCAGTTGCCTGGTGTGAATAAAGTGGCCAGTATGCCAAAATGTTATTTTCTCTCACCCTTTTGAAAACACATAAAGGGAGGGGACGTGACTTGGGAGTGATATCTGGGAAAACAAATACCACACCATCTCTTACTTTAATACCACTTCATCCAGAGATTATGCTGGTTCAGTCTTTGGGTGTTTTTGGGAAATCTTTTACAACTGTAGCGATAAACATCAAATCTTTTTATTTATGTGTTGGCATGGCAATAACACAGCTTATATACACAGCGTTCTCCCAAAATCCCTCGGAAACCCAGCGGTGAGCAACACTTAATCCCTGTTTAGGGGAATAAACACGACCCAGCAGGGGAGCAGCGGCACATAAACCTGCAAACAGTCAGAGGCATTCAACGTATATTTATCCGGAGAATCTGGGCCCAGGGAGTTGGCTGCATCATCTAAAGATCTTGACAGTACAGGGATAAGATACTAAGCTCAAAGTTAGAGAACACTTATAAATAAATCATTTGTGGAAAGAAAGGACTGATATGCAGAGAAAAAAAAGTAATGTTTATGGACGGTTGATTGGATTGGGGACAAAGGAAAAAGACATCATATGGGGTTTCAATAGACCAATGATTCAAGCTTGGCAGCAATATTACAATGATACTATTCAATGACGTATTTGTAAGTACTGTAGTTTGCAACAATAAGCGAAGTAAATAGGTAACTCTAGAACACATTGACTCCTGTATGTGTATATTTGCCTTTACCTACTCTCCTCCCAGAATCATCATCTACAGAATAGAATTTGCTTTGAAAGACGAACGGCTAATGAAGATTCAATGGACGAGACAAATATTGACTTCCAGTTCAAGTCAGGACTAAAAAAACTGTACTGTGTGCAAGCAGACTACCGAAATTGCCGAACTATAAGCACCCACCTTTTTATAGTTCTTTAAACTCTAGGGGCTGTATAGCTTTTCAGGCAATATATGTTTTTATATGTTATTATGGCTGAGTATCTCCTCAGGCAAAGGAAATAATTATCTTTCCTCTCCTCAGAATTTGTGTTATTTACAAAGTCAACAGTGCTTTAAACTTTGTCATTAATACATGTTGATGCCATTACATTTCTCCAATGAGAGATCAACAAAGTTTTATCTCATCTATCGGCTTTGTTTTGCTCCATCACCATGCGTTACATTTAGAATATTGTTGGAACGTACAACACATGTTTTCACATAACACACAAATAAGAAGTTTGGAAAGTCATCTATTGTAGAAAATGCTTATGTTGTTTTATCACCACATGAAACTCTGCAGCTTATAACTAATTAAGGGGACAAAATGTACTTTCTTTTCAAATTTAGCTGGTATGGTGTGGTTTGTAAACACTTAGCGCTCATTGGTCCGGAACGTACAGTAAAAACAACAGTGAAGATCCGGGACATAAGGACATTTCGGGACATAAGGACAATTGTGGTTTTGGTCATCCCGCAGACAACTGCTGTGATTTAGGGTAATACTAAAATAAATTGAATTGAATGACTAGTGTTTTTGACTATATACTTCTATCAAAAATGACTGATGTTTGTAGAAAAAATGCGCAAGATTATTTAGCTGGAGACAAAAAGTTGGGAGTGAAACAATTTCAAAGAACAAAGGTGACTAATGTTGAACTAAAATGTACACAAGACTTGATGATTTTGTTCCGGTTGCGAAGAAGGACAGTCACAAGGCTCTTTATGTTTACAAAGTTTAAGGAGGCTGATAGCAACAAAAAGCCCTTATTCTTCAGTGTCCTTCAGTAAACACAAACGTGGGCCACAAACCGCATCATGTTTTTCCCATCAGGGTTTCTGGCAACGTTTACATTTTTTTATTTAAAGGGGACAAAGAATACAATTTCAAAGGTAACTGACATATACTATAAATGTTGCTGTGAAGGGAGTACCTAAATTCAATATATTCTGTATAAAATCAAAACAGAGGACAAAACAGAGGACAAAACAAAGCAACAGATCAAAACAGGTCAAAAGTTCAAACACAGGAAATGCAATGATAAAATATACATAGAGCCATTGGTCCATAAGGGGCAGTTTACCATATGTTCATAAATGTCCAGGATCATCAACGCTGTCATAAGACCCTCCTGCATCGGCAAGGAACAACAACAAAAAAACAATGGGGAAAAAGTGAAAAACCTCGGGAGGCCACATTTGGAGAGGCCACATTGGGAAAGGCCCTGAAGCAGTAATTGAGATGACGCTAGTGAGGCCAAGAAAACAAATATGCCCTTTTTTTCAAGTTTTGAAAATGAATGAATGAAGCATCAATCATTACAATTTACGTCAGATTTGTATTATTAAGATAAAGTTAAGAAATAATATTAATCAGTGCCTGGATATTATCAAACACATTCTTAACGCCTGCTCCTGTAAACGTTATGGTCGGACTGTCCAAACGTTCTCTAAAACCAGCCCAAACATGTCTGTATAATCCAAGCAGCGTTAAATTAAACTTGAGAGGTGGTTGTTTTGAAAAGAGACATTAATCCTAATTGCCCGGTTTCCACACATCAGCACTGTTTGTCTGAGAACCCTAAACCACGGCTTGATCGTGACAGCTCTAAAGACTTGACCCAGAAAAATGTAGGCCACCGGAGTGAACATTCACACTACAGGCCAACTTCTGCCTCTTTCTTTGCTCTGTCGGTTTTGTCCTTTTCCTTTTGTCCAGATGCCCCATTATTCAAGAGCTCTCAGGCAGCCGTGGGCACACCTCTGGCAACGCACGGAAGAACAAAACTTCAGCCTGGGAGTAAACCTATTTCCATTGCCCACATTTCAGATGCCAGTGATGTTATGTTGAACAGCAGTCGCACACTATATCCAATCCAAAGAATGTACTTTCCCATATCATTGAACTACAGTATTTTCAATTGGTAAATAAACTTTGAACTTTGAAACCATTAATTATAATGTTATAACATTCATTTATTTTTTCACCATGTACAGTGGGGCAAAAAAGTACATCGTAAGCCACCAACTGTGCAAGTTTTCCTCCTTAAAAAATCTTTATTTTTTATCAAAAGTATACCTCAACTATGAGAGACAGAATGAGAATAAAAACCAGAAAATCACACACATTTTTTAAGAATTTATTTGCAAATTATGGTGGAATATATGTGATTGGTCAGTAACAAAATTTCATCTCAATACTTTGTTATATATCCGAGCT